GCAGCTGAGTGCTTAGCCCTGAGTGCCACCAGGTCTGCTTTGTACAACATAGTGAATGTAATTAATACTACTGAATTGTACACTTAAAAATGATTAAAATGGCAAATTTTTGCTGTATGTATTTTACCACAATAAAGAAAAGCCCTGAAGCCAGGGTGGAGGGCAGGAGAGGATATAACCAAAAACGGGAGGAACACTCGCTCACTTAGAAAGGTAATGTAGGGGCAAAGAACTAAGACCCTAGCCTTCCTGAGTGAACCAAACTCCTCTTCCAGTAAAACCCCATCTTTTCCTCTGAAGAGCCTGATGCTGGTGGCCTGTGGCCTGAGCACCCTGCTTCTCTCACCAGGAGGTGTGGAGAGGCCATCAGATACCCCTTGTCATATATCACAAGGATTGACCCACCTCAAGGCAGAGTGTAAGAATGGCAGGTGGATATGCTTTATGATTTTTCTCCCACAAAAATTCCTTTTCCCCAAGCAAAAAGTGAGTGTATGGGATGTCCCTCTTGGGTCTCCATTTCTGAAAGAATTAATACCCAGTTCATACCTTTCTCAGTGGTGGATAAGTACTTAAAATGCAAGCATTTTTCTCCTATTGCCAGCCTGCCTATTGTGGCTGGAATACCAAATCTGAACAAACAGCTCTCTGCAGGCTGTCATCTTTGATTATTTTTTTTCCTCTGGGATGTATCGGGTGCCAGGCAGATTGTGCCTGACTTTCTCCTCATAAGGATTACTCAGTTGAGGACACAGTGAGTAGACAGGGCCCAGTAATTAAGTCCCACCTATCTCCATTTCAGAACCCTGGTGGCACAGTGGTTAAGAGCTATGGCTGCTAACCAAAAGGTTGGCAGTTCAGATACACCAGGAACTCCTCAGAAACCCTACAGGCAGTTCTACTCTGTCCTATAGGGTCGACTCAATGGCAACAGGTTTAGGTTTTTTTTGGATCTCCATTTCAAGGAACCCTGGTGGCACAGTGGTTAAGTGCTCAGCTGGTAACCTAAAGGTCGGCAGTTCGAACTCTCCAGCCACTCCGCAGGAGAAAGATGTGGCAGTCTGCTTCTGTAAAGATTACAACCTTGGAAACCCTGTGAGGCAGTTCTGCTCTGTCCTGTAGGGTCACTGTGAGTCAGAATCGACTCAAGGGCAGTGGGGTGGATTTGGGTTGGATCTCCATTTCAACTTTCTGATCTCTCTCCTCCCATGCCAGTGGCTCCCTGCTTGTAAACCTGCCCGAGTGACAGGCACACTCAAGATTCCAGGGCCTGATTCCATCAGCCCTCCAAAGCCTGTGTACTTTTGGAAGCCTGTGGGAAATTCAGCAGTCTTCTAAAGATGCAGCTTACCTACACATCTGTCAGGGTTTAGTTAAACATGACTGACTAATTGATCTTGCAGTGTGAGATGGGGATTCATTTGCTTTGCAAGTTGACTTGGCAGTTTTCTCTGATCAGAGACATTTCGAATAGATGGTATGCATGGCAATAGAGAGGAAATAGATGCTATCAATATTCCATTTTCAGATATAAAATTGACTATAGACCCCACATCCCATTCCCCTCAGAAAAATAGACCACGTCCTCTCCTAGTTAGACCTGTGTAGTGTCTGTCAGAGAAGTCACAAGAGTGACAGTGGATCCCCCCAGAGGCTCTGAATTGGGGCCAGTTTGCATGTGTTACAGATTGAATTGTGTCCCCAAAAAATATGTGTTATAAATCCTAAACCCCTATACCTATGGATGTAATCCCATTTGGGACTAGAACTTTCTTTGTTATGTTAATGAGACCATATCAGTGTAGGGTGTGTCTTAAACAATTCACCTTTGAGATTTAAAAAGAGCAAGTTAGGCACAGAGAAGGAAACACACATGGAGGGGAAGATACAAGCCACATGAAGGTCCTCAAGGAACCAAGGAACAGAAGCTGAAAAGAGACAAGGACCTTCCCCCAGAGCCCACAGAGAGACAAATCCTTCCCCTAGAGTTGGTACACTGAATTTGGACTTCCAGCCTCCTACACTGTGAGGAAATAAATTTCTGTTTGTTAAAGCCACCCTCTTGTGGTATTTCTGTTCTAGCAGCAGTAGGAAACTAAGACAGCATGTTAGTGTGGACCTGCTCCTGATGACTGCAAAGGCTGTCAGTCTCAGCCTTCAGCAACAAGTACTTCCCCTCCTGTCTGTGGACATGGCTTATCCTGAGATGCTGGTTCCTGGCTTGAGGGGGTTAGGGGTTTTGTTGTCTTTTTCTCAGCCTATCTTTAAAGACTATAGGGAAGGAGTAAAGGCACAACCTTGGATGTCAGAATATCGTTATGGACCTCCTGAAAATTAAAGATCCTCAAATGATCGTTAACTTCATCCAGTGCTGTCCAATAGAATGCTGGAAATATTCTGTATCTCTGCTATCCAGTATGGAAGTTGCTAGCCGTAGATGACTATTGAGCATTTGAAATGTGGGTAGTGTGACTGAGGAATTGAATTTTAAATTTTAGTTAGTTTTAATTGAATTTAAATAGCTACCTCTCGCTAGTGATAATGGTATTGGACAGCACAAGTATCCATTTTCACCTATTTCCTATGTGACCAAACCCAGCTTTGTTCAAATGCATTTATCTCACTAGCTTTCTGAATGTTGTGATGTTTGCTCTGAGTTTACCTATAAATCTTCAATTCAAAAACTCTGGACTTGTGTCGAACGATAATATAATGGTAATGTAATAAAAATCATAGCTGGCACATACTGAGCACTTACTATATACCATGCACTTTGCTAAGCACTTAGCACACATTGTCTGATTTATAGTCACATAATGATGTTATTATGCTGAGTTTACAGATTAGGAAACTAAGGCTGTAAGAGGTTAAGTGACTTGTTTGAAGTCACCCAGCCAGTAAGTGGTAAATCTGGATTCAACCCCAGGCATTGTGACTCCAGAGCTGGTATACTCTGCTGCCTGTCAAGACATTTCGCAGTGCCATTTCCTGGCTGATGTTTTCAAATTCAGTCATCCTCTGATTGTTAAAAGCAAGGGTGTCTTAGATTGGCCCATACAATGAATAATATCACTCCTGAGTACTGTGCTCCTCTCAATAATCTTCCAAATGAAACCCAGCAGTAAACATTTTTCCTAGATCAAAGATGAGAAGGTAAGTGGGGGCAGGGAACCTAGATTAAGGGAAACAGAACAACCAGATGGAAATAATGAGAATGCTGATATATCGTGGAAAATGTAACCAATGTCACTGAACAATACGTATAGAAATTGTTAACCGAGAACCTAATTTCCTGTGTAAACTTTCACTAAGAATACAATATTAAAAAAAAAAGCAAAGATGTCTTGAGATCATTAACAACTTGAGTATAAACAGTGGATTGCACATTCACTCAGTGCTTCCAGACTCGAGTTTGGATCCTGGCCTGAAATGAAGGCAGCAGCTGTAAGTGAGACTCTACTTCTCTTCATCCCTGACTGCAGGACTTCCAATGGAGAGCCATGTTGTCTGCTGGGGTCCCTCAAAGATGGCAGATTTGGAACTCTAATCTGTGCCTCCTTAGCACCACAAGACAATCAGAACTCAGCTCTGAGTTGTAGGGCATTCTGCTGGCTTCTTAGCTCTCTGCAGCTTTAGAATTTGGCAAAAGTGGCAGTTGTGGGGTTCAATTCTTTGTCGCTGTCTTACTCCTTGGGATTTTGACTACTCAGGTCTCAAATTTCTGTCCCTTCAGGTGTTAAAGGCCACCAAATGCATTGCTGGTTTTTCTGCCTCTTGGTATCAACACATTGCCTGGGACCTTTGCTAGGATCCTCACCCCCAGAATTAGCGTGTGCCCTGAGGGGAAAAACCACTTGGGAAGTCAGCTCACTTCTCTGCAGTTTTCCTTCCTTTGAGATTTCTCCCCCTCAAGTCTTCCTTACCTCAGTACTCTAGGAGGCCTTCAGACAGCCTGCCCTTACCTGTTTACCTACCTCCCATCTATCCATCAATCCATTCATCCGTCCATCCGTTCGCTCATCCATCCATCTATCTGGATTTTCTTCTTGGTCTCAGCAAGAGTATTTGTCTGCCCCAGTTACTCTGCCATACCCTAAAATAGGGGCTGGAGGATTATAAAGAGGTCTCTTCCACGGAGAAAGCATTTGTCTGTCTATAGCGGAAAGTTAAGAATGAGCCTGTAGAAAGGCCAGCAAAATAGGCCAAATCCACAAATGTAAACCTTGGAGTAAAATAAAATTGAGAGCTTGCTATTACTGGAATCTTTTGGTGTCCTAGGCAGCCTCTCTGTAAGAGCATTAACTATTCCTGGTGTTAATCTCTTGGCATGAGTTTAATGGAAAATGTGATCTCTGGCAAAACTGCGGTATCAAGTTTTATCCGGTTAACAAGAAAGATCTGTGACCATTTTTGAAATGAGCTGCCCAACTGTGAGGCCATTACAGCTTGCTTTAGTAAAAGAAGCCCTGGTGGCACAGAGGTTAAGCACTAGGCTGCTGACCAAAAGGTCAGTGGTTCAAACACGCCTGCTGCTCCAAGGGAGAAAGATGTAACAGTCTGCTTCTGTAAAGATTACAGCCTTGGAAACCCTGTGGGACGGTTCTACTCTGTCCTTATAGGGTCGCTATGAGTCAGAGTTGACTCAATGGCACACAACAACAAGTTTTATCCAGTTAACAAGAAGAATCTGTGACCATCTTTGGAGGATGCTGCCCAACCGTGAGGCCATTACAGCTTGCTTTAGAATAGCTCAGAGGCAGTCCAAATGCAAGTTCTGGACAATGCTGCTTGGCTTAGGAGTCTAGGCTCTCTCTTTGTCATACTCTTTACCTGTGATAGCAACATCCTTTGGGGTGTTTTCAGAGTGAGAGGTGATATTGTGGATGCAGGGGGAAGTTTTTTGGGGGGATGGCTTTGCCAATGAGAGCACATTGTGGGCAAGGAGCTAACAAGGGAGAAAGCCCACTGGCTCATTGTTTCTTGTGTTTGCTTTTTTCTAGCCTGCACAGACAAGGAGTTGAGGAACCTGGCTTCCCGGCTGAAAGACTGGTTTGGAGCCCTTCATGAGGATGCAAACAGGGTCATCAAGCCCACCAGCTCCGACACAGCCCAAGGCAGTAAGACCACCACTTTACTTTTGCTTATTTATTTCATTTTAAATCCCATAGTTTCACAGTGAGTAGACGTTGTTGACTTTGCAGTAGCATTAAATGTACACATTGATTGTAAAATATGTCCCAATTTTGGAATGCTTTAGAATCAAGAAAATACAAAAACTTCTATTTTTAAAGATCTGATTGCAGAAATATTATATGTTTATTACAGACATTTAGGAAAATATACTAAATATATAGAAAAATACCAAAACAAACAAACAAAAAACTCTAACCCCACCATGTTATAATTGTAAAAGCATGTTGTGCTATATACTTCTAATCTTTTTCCTTGGCATTTAGGGGAAAAAAATATGTATGTGTACGTGTGTGTGTGTGTGTGTGTGTGTGTGTGTATGTATGTTTTATGACCTGCTTTTACCATTTGGCAATATACTGTGACTATCTTTGCATGTTGTTAATCGTCAAGTAGTATTCTGCCCTCTAATAGCTACACAGAATCCCAATTTATGGATATAGCATAGTTTATTTAATTGAACATTTATTTGGGGGCATTTAGGTAGTTATTAATATTTAGCTATTATAGATAACACTGTAGCAAGCATCTTTGATGTATCTTTGTGTACATGAGTCAGACTGCATTTTGGTTTCCTTAGAAATGACCAGATAATTGTCTTCCTCCCCCACCATTAAAATGCAGATTCCTAAGCAGCCTCTCTTGGCTTCAGCTACTAAACTGGCAGAGACCATACTCAGAGCCTCTTTTTAAACTGGGAAGAAAACTCAGGGCAGACCCTTATATTTGCAATTTGAGGAGTTTCTCGGTGCCTTTAACTCAGAAGTAGTTACGGGAAGACGTTTCCACAGTACCGCCAACCAGCATAGAATGGATTACTAAACACCACAACTGTTCAAATACATTTGGTTTTGCTACAGCCTTTTTTTTTAAATTTTTTAAATTTTTTTTATTGTACTTTAGATGAAGGTTTACAGAACAGTTTCTCATTAAACAGTTAGTACACATGTTGTTTTATGACAATGATTAACAACCCCATGACCTGTCAACACTGTCCCTTCTCAACCTTGGGTTCCCTATTACCAGCTTTCCTGTCCCCTCCTGCCTTCTAGTCTTTGTCCCTGGACTGTTGTGCCCCATTAGTCTCATTTTGTTTTATGGGGCCGTCTAATCTTTAGCTGAGTGGTGAACCTCGGGAGTGACTTCATTACTGAGCTAAAAGGATGCCCGGGGGCCATACTCTCAGGGTTTCTCCAGACTCTGTCAGGCTAGTAAGTCTGGTCTTTTTTTGTGAGATAGAATTTTGTTCTACATCCTTCTCCAGCTCTGTCCAGGACCCTCTGTAGTGAGCCCGGTCAGAGCAGTCAGTGCACCATCTAGCTGTACTGGACTTAGTCTGGTGGAGGCCGTGGAAGTTGTGGTCCATTAGTCCTTTGGACTCATCTTTCCCTTGTATCTTGTTCTCTTCATTCTCCCTTGCTGCAGAAGGGGTGAGACCATTGGAGTATCTTAGATGGCTGCTCACAGGCTTTTAAGACCTCAGAAGCTACTCACCAAGGTGGAATGTAGAGCTATAAACTGTGTTATTCCAATTGAGCTAGATGTTCCCTGAGACCATGGTCCCCAGAGCCCTCCACCCAGCAATTCAGTCCCTCAGGGAGTTTGGATGTGTCTATGGAGCTTCCATAACCTTTTCTTGTACAAGTTGTGCTGGCTTCCCCAG